TTTCTTTCTTTCTTTCTTTCTTTCTTTCTTTCTTTCTTTCTTTCTTTTCTGCAATTATTATTATTATTTTAATTATAATTTCTCGCCGGGAGAATTGTTTGCTGCTGCGGAGGACTGCTGCTCTGCGGCTCTGCTTAGTAAAGTCAATATATATACAGTGATGCAAAAGTCGGTGATAACGCACCCGGGGATGCGGAGAGCGGCGGCGGAGGAGCTGGGCACCGGCACAGGGAGCCGCATAGGGAGGGGCCGTCCCCCACCCCGCAGAGTGCTGAGCTGCTCCATCGCCGTCCTGAGTCCGATTTCCCACTTGGGCCGTGCGCTTCACCAGGCTGCAAGCGTTCCTCGCTTCCCCGTTGTCGCTGCAGGACGGCCGCACTGTGCCCTGTGCAGCCGTGAGCCGGACAGGGCAGAGCGTGGGTAATAGGGACGGAGAGATTCGTGGGTAATAGAGACGGAAATTAGTTTAGGAGAGGCGGAGAGGCTGCGGCAGAACCCCGCAGTTCAGCCGAGGCGCCGCAAGATCCCGGTCCCCAATTGCGGTTTGCAAACGGGTGTCGAGTTTGTTCCTCGCCGATTTGCGTCTCGAAAGGCATTTCGCGAGTGCTTGGAAAGTCCTTGAAAAGAGGAACGCTCTTCGTTCGACTCTCCCCACCGAAAGGCAAGGGCATCGTTCAGTGCTGCTCTGTGCGCTCGGGGGTCGCGGGTCGCCCCGGGGCTGCCGGGACGGGCTCGGAGCGGGGCTCAGCGCCGGCAGAGCGGGGAAAGCCTCAGGGAAAAGTACCACATATTTCGGGGTAGCGTCCTCCTCTGCTGAACTTCCTCACGAGGGCTGAAGAAGGGATCCGGGCTGCGAGCGGCCGAAAGCTCAGTCCGGAGCCTCGCTGAGCCCGGTTGCGGCTGCAGGTTGCGGGGTGCGAGGCAGATCCCGCTGCTAACAGCTCTCCGGGCTCACGCAGGCTCTGCGAGTTGGCTGTACGCGGGTGGGCAACGAGATGGTTCCGGTATCGGCTCCGACAGCGGAGCCGTACACATACACGTACACTCAGACACGCACACAAAATGCTTTTAAAATAAAATTACATTTACAGATAATTCTAAAACACCTCCTCGTTATGCTTCGCCCTGAACCCCGCGAGCAGGCTGCAGCCCTCCGCTGCGGGCCAAAAAATCCTCAGGAAGGGGTTTAGAAAGCGGGTGCAAATCTTTACCTTTTAATATTTTTTTTGTTTGTTTCTTTTTCTTTTCTTTTTTTTTTTTCTTTTCTTTCTTCCTTTTTTTTTTTTTTTTTTTTTTTTTTTTTTTTTT